AAACCCCAAGAAGCCCCAGAAGATCCGGGTTGTCTTCGATTGTGCTGCCAAGTGTGCCGGGATTGCCCTAAATGACCGTCTACTTCAAGGCCCAGATCTGACTAATCCGCTGATTGAGGTGCTGTGCAGATTTCCTCTGGGGTCAGTTGGGGTAGCGGTTGTTAACGAGTAGATATTCATGCAAGTCAAAGTCCCCGAAAGGAAAAGGGACGCTCTACGGTTGTGGCGGTGGCCGGATGGAGACCTAGATGGACCTGCCCAGGAACATCGGATGACGGTGCACCCGTTTGGCACGATATCCTCTCCTTCCTGTGTAAACTTTGCGTTAAAAACGACCGTGAAGAAATTTGCTCAGCATTTCGAAACCCCGGTGGGCTCCTGTGTTGAACATACTTTTTATGTGGGCGACTTAACGGCCCCAACGGTTCTCTGCCCTGTATATTAGTGCATGAAAAACCTATTGACTCGCAGTGTTGTAAGCCACAAGAACAGCTATGCACATCAACCTGGACGCAAGATTGGCCCGGGCCACACATCGTCCTGTGCAATCTGAATTGAACAGAACTGAACTGACCTTTTCGGAGCGTGTGGTGAAACTCGAGTAAATCTTCTTCAAAGCCTATAAATCAGACCACGGTGGATCCAGGTCCAGCCATAATCGACTAGTGCTCGCCCAAGGATCATCTCAGGATGCTACAAAGGTGAGCCTAGGCGTTATTTATTGCCTTTTGTAAAGAAACTCGGTGAGTCCAGCGTCCGCGTTAATTTTGGCTTGCGGTTGATGTTCCTATTCAGTGCACGATCTTGACTGTCTTTTATTTTTACTATTATACATCTCTCGCATTTTTCTATCATATTACTCCCAGGCTACATATCTAATAACTATATCCGTTTACCTAAGGCTCTCTAATTCTAATGTAATTATCAGAACCTACCACTTGGACGCAACAGGTTATATCCTGATGACCACGAGAGCTGTGAGCAGAAAATGCTCTTCAGCTGAAATGGCTAGCCGTAAAACTCAGGACAGGGTATTTCCATGTGGGGGAAAAGATTGCCTAGCTAGTGTAAGAGAGGATATCTGCTGTGACTTTTGCGATACCTGGTATCATCGAAAGTGCTGTAAACTGACAATCAAGATCTACGGACTCTACACCGAGCACAAATGCCTAAAATGGGTTTGTTGTTATGAAAAGGACCGGGCCAACCCCTGCCACCGACGAAAAGCTCACAGAGGCAGACTGTAGCTCCTTCCTAGATGTCAGTGGTAGAAAGGAAGGACATTCAGTCCACCATCGATCGTCGGGATATAAAGAGTTTTAGAGATGACATGACATGTCAAATGAAGGCGATCACCGAATCCCTAGTCAACCAAGCCACTCAACTAGCCAGAGTAGCCAAGTAAGCTGCATCGAACTCCCACAGCATGAGAGCCCTCCAGGCGAACACCGACATCGCTCTCGGGAAGCATAGGAATGTAATAATCAAAGG